GCGTAGTTGTCAAGTGTCAATTGAATGAGAAAACTATTTGAAATTTAAACTGTCCAACTTGGTAAAGTCACGTGGCAAAATGTAAACTAAAGTGTTCACCATAGTGTACATGTAGCAAGGTTCTTACCCATTGAACATTGCTACTTGTACACTGATTCTGACACGTTGTTTAACACTTGCATTGTTGTCAAGTGTCAATATGATGTGAAAAGTGTTTCAAATTTAAGCTGTCCAACAGGATAATGTCACAAGGTAAAGTGTAAACAAAAGTGTACATTATAGTGTACACGTAGCAAGGTTCTTAACGATTGAACATTGCTATATCTACATTAATTTTTGACACGTTGTTTGACACTTGCATTGTTGTCAAGTGTCAATTGGATGGAAAAACTATTTGAAATTTAAACAATCCAGCAGGGTAGTGTCACGTGGTAACGTGTAAACTAAAGTGCACACTATAGTGTACATGTCGCAAGGTTCTTATCGATTGAAATTTCTATTTGTACTCTAATTTTTGACACGTTGTTTGACACTTGTATTATTGTCAAGTGTCAATTGGATGGGAAAACTGTTTGAAATTTAAACTTTCTATCAGGGTAATGTCACGTGGCAAAGTGTGCACCATAGTGTACTAGTAGCAAGGTTCTTACTGATTGAACTTTGCTATTTGTACATTAATTTTTGACACATTGCTTGACACTGGCATTGTTGTCAAGTCTCAATTGGAAGGGAAAACTATTTCAAATTTATACTGTCTAATAGGGTAATTTCACTTGGCAAAGTGCAAACCAAAGTGTACACCATAGTGTACATGTTGCAAGGTTCTTACGGATTGAACTTTGCTATGTGTACACAGATTTTTGACACGTTCCTTGACACTTGCATTGTTGTCAAGTGTCAATTAGATGGGAAAACTATTTGAAATTTAAACTGTCTAACAAGGTAATGTCACATGGCAAAGTGTAAACTAAAGTGTACACCATAGTGTACATGTGGCAGCGTCCTTACTGATTGAACATTGCTATTTGTACACTGATTTTGGACACGTTGTCTGACACTTACATTGTAGTCAAGTTTCAATTGAACGGAAAAAATAGTTTGAAATTTAAACTGTCCAACAGGGTAATGTCACGTGGTGAAGTATAAACTAAAGTGTACACCATAGTGTAGATGTAGCAAGGTTCTCAACGATTGAACATTTCTATTTGTACATTAATTTTTGACACGTTGTCTCACACTTGCGTTGTTGTCAAGTGTCAATTGATTGGGAAAATTGTTTAAAACTTTGTCCAGCAGGGTAGTGTCGCGTTGCAACGTGTAAACTCAAGTGTACACGATAGTATACATGTCGCAATATAACGACCCAAAATTTAAAGATTTGGAATCGTTACTAAAACATTTATTTCATAATTAAATAAATTATGTCAAACATTCTACATGAAAATCTTTCCAGTTCCATCTATAAAATAAATCAAGTCTATGGAAAACATAATTAATTGAACCATGTTCCAAATATTAAACTTCAAATTTAACATGAAGATAAAACTGAAATAACGCAAAGAGAAATAAATAAATAAATCTTCCTAATCACGTTACTCAGAATTTATTTATCTTGAATTTCATAATTTCCGGCATTACAACTCCACCGCATCGCCCGCCAACCAACGACCCGTTCTAATTTGTGAGGAGTAGGGAAAATGGTGAGTACATGGAAATACTCAGTAGGATATAAAAATTAATGGTGCAATCCCATATAAAAATTTTAAAACATGCATCAGAAAAATCATACCGTCTCATATCTTTAAAATCTGGTAGGAGCTCATATCATATCAAATTGTTGTACCGGAATGGCCATATCATTCACATCATAACATATCATATCATAACTTTAACTTTCATGAGTATAAAATTCATCAGCATAAAAAAATATTTACATGGGACATAAAAACACTGTACGTCATATCCTACCTTATTAGATTGTTAAAATTTTTGGATGACTAAATCCAAGAAATCACGCTCCAAAAATCCTTCTCGCTGCTTCAAGAATTTATATTGTTTGAAANATAGCATACATAAATTAAATTCTAATCTATGAAATTTTGTGACATTACAATCTCCCCTCCTTAAAATATTTTCGTCCTCGAAATTTTACCTTAGTTAATCGAAGAGCTCTGGATACTTGGTTCTAAGCTCTTCTTCCTTCTTCCATGTTGACTCTTCTCGTCCATGATTTCGCCATTGCACTTTGACCAGGGGAACTTCTCTATTTCTGAGTTGGTGTACTTTTCTTTCCAGAATCATCGTTGGGATTTCTTCATATGATAGATCTTTTTGTACCTCCAAAGTTTGGTAACTTACCACATGATTGGGATCATGAACATATTTTCTGAGCATCGAAACATGGAATACATTATGCACTGCTGCAAGTTCAGGTGGTAAGGCAAGTCGATAAGCTACAACACCAATCCTTTCGAGAATCTCGAAAGGTCCAATAAATCGTGGTCTCAACTTCCCTTTCTTTCCAAATCTCAATACACCCTTCATTGGTGCTACCTTTAGAAAAACCTTGTCGCCCACTTGAAATTCTAAATCCTTTCTTCTACTGTCAGCATAACTTTTCTGACGGTCTTGTGCTGCCTTTATTCTTGTTCTAATTTTATCAACTGCCTCAATTGTTCGTTCAATGATTTCAGGACCCAAAATTCTGCTTTCCCCGACCTCATCCCAATGGATAGGGGATCTACACTTTCTACCATAAAGGGCTTCATATGGGGACATACCTATAGTAGCTTGAAAACTATTGTTGTAAGCAAACTCTACTAAAGGTAGGTGTATTTCCCAACTCCCTCCAAGATCCAGAATACACGCTCTCAACATATCTTCCAGAGTTTGAATGGTTTTTTCTGATTGTCCATCCGTCTGAGGATGATAAGCAGTGCTAAACTTCAGTTTCGTCCCCATGGCTGTCTGCAAGCTTTTCCAAAATTTAGATGTGAACCTCGGGTCTCTATCTGAAATAATGGTGACTGGAATTCCATGCAATCCGACTATCTCTTTGATGTATAACTGTGCGAGCTGTTCCATGTTGAAGTTTACTTTAATGGGTAGAAAATGGGCTGACTTTGTTAGATGATCCACCACTACCCAGATAGCATTGTGACTTTTTGCTGACCTCGGGAGGCCTACACAAAGTCCATCGTTATGTGTTCCCACTTCCATTCTGGAATATCCAACGGTTTCAGTAGCCCTGATGGCCTTTGATGTTCTGCCTTGACCTGTTGACAGATAATACATTTTTCAATGAATAGACCAATTCCTCTCTTCATGTTTCTCCACCAAAATGTATCTCGAAGATTTCGATACATTTTCGTACCACCAGGATGTGCCGAATACGGGGTAGAGTGAGCCTCTTCCAAAATCTCATTCCTTATACTTTCATCTTTAGGTACACACAACCTTCCTTTAAAAGTCAATACTTTATCTGCAGATACCTCAAATCCTATATGCTTGTTTGTACCAATCTCAGCTTTAATCTTCTGTAAAAACAGATCCTTATCCTGTGCTTCTTTAATTCGATCCCTATGAGTGGGTTGAATCATAAATGCTCTTATTCTTGCTGTAGTCTGAGTTGGCGGTGTGAAAACTTCCAATCTTAGTTTCTCAAAGTCCCTTATCAAGTGTTCTTGCACCGTAGGTAAAACTGCTAACTGTACTCTCGTCTTTCTGCTTAAGGCATCTGCAACTACATTAGCCTTACCCGGATGGTAATGAATTGTGCAGTCATAATCTTTCACTAACTCCAACCATCTCCTCTGCCTCATATTCAGTTCCTTCTGTGTGAAAAAGTATTTGAGACTCTTGTGGTCTGTATAAATTTCACACTTCCCACCATATAGATAATGACGCCATATCTTTAAGGCGTGAACTACTGCTGCGAGCTCTAAATCGTGCGTTGGATAGTTTTGCTCATACTATTTCAACTGTCTAGAGGCGTAAGCAACCACTTTTCCATGCTGCATCAATACACAGCCTAAACCCTGTTTGGAGGCATCACTATAAACCACAAATCCATTCGAGCCCTCTGGTATCATTAATACTAGAGCTGAAACTAACCTTTGCTTGAGTTCTTGAAAACATTTTTCACATTTTTCTGTCCATTGAAACTTTACACCTTTTCTTGTTAACTGAGTCATTGGTCCTGCTATTTTTGAGAAGCCTTCAATGAATCTTCTGTAATAGCCAGCCAATCCCAAGAAACTGCGGACTTCACTCACACTGGTCGGACTTGGCCAATTTGTTATTGCTTCCACCTTAGCAGGATCTACTTCGATTCCTTGGGCGGTAACCACATGACCAAGGAAACCTATGCGATCAAGCCAAAATTCACACTTCTTGAATTTAGCATATAATTTCTCCTTCCTCAAGGTTTCAAGTACTACTCGGAGTTGTTCCTCATGCTGTTTCTTGTCTTTGGACTACACGAGTATGTCATCAATAAATACTATGACGAATTGGTCTAAGTATTGATGAAACACTCTGTTCATGAGATCCATAAATACAGCTGGAGCATTGGTCAAACCAAAAGGCATGACAGTGAATTCATAGTGTCCATAACGAGTCCTGAAAGTAGTTTTTGGTATGTCACTTGCCCTGATTTTCAACTGATGGTACCCTGACCTCAAGTCGATCTTTGAAAACACTGTAGCACCTCTTGACTGGTCAAACAAATCTTCTATTCTTGGCAGCGGGAACTTATTTTTTATGGTCAAATGGTTTAATTCCTGATAATCAATGCACATCATCATACTTCCATCCTTCTTCTTCACAAAAAGTACAGGAGCTCCCCAAGGAGATACACTTGGTCGAATGAAACCTTTCTCCAACAATTCCTCTAATTGTAACTTCAATTCTTGAAGTTCTTTCGGTGCCATTCGGTACGGGGCCTTGGATACTGGTGTTGCTCCAGGAACCAAATCAATTGTAAATTCCACTTGCCTATCTTATGGAATGCCTGGTAAATCTTCTGGAAATATGTCTGCAAAATCTCGCACAATGTTAATATCATTAACAGTCTTTTCTAGATGTTGGGGACTGGTGATATTAACCAGAAATCCTTGACATGACTCATTTTTCAACATCTTTTCCGCTTGAATAGTTGATACAAGACGAGGCAAAGACTTGAACTTTGCTCCAAAGAAATGGAATTCTTCTTCTCTCAGTCTATGAAACAATACTTCTTTCTCGTGACATCGAATGGTCGCATGATTAAGTCCCAACCAATCCATGCCCAAAATAACATCGAAATCTTTCATCTCCAAAAGGTATAAGTCTGCTTGTAATATTTTCCCATCAATCTCTAACTTCATAGCCTTAGTCATCCGATTTGTACAAAGAGTTCTTCCTGAAGGGATGCTAACCTCTAATTCATAATTCGTTTTCACACATGCAAGGTTTGACCTAGCGACGAAGGATATAGAGATAAAAGAATTGGTAGCCCCAGAATCAAAAAGTATGTAAGCGGGTACATCAGATAATAACAAAATACCTATTTGTAATTATAGTGTTAGACTAGAAATTAAGGGACAGAGATAAAATAATGTATGGTCATAGGTAAAAAGAACATAAGCACGTATGTTGAAAATATTAATAGTAAGATACCTGCAATCACATTCGGATCCTGCTCCGCCTCATACTGATTCAGTGCAAAAACTCGAGCCTTTACTTCCTTATTCTTGTCTTGATCATCATCTTTCTTCTTTGGAGGCTCTGTGCAGTTGAGAGCAATGTGTCCGGGCTTACCACACCGGAAACACATGTTCTTCCCAAGTAAACATTCACCTCTGTGGAGTTTATTACACTTAGGACAGGGTATAATACTCCCACTCGTCCCACCAATACGAACTCCTGTGCTTGGTCTTTTATTGTGCCAGTTATGTCTATTCTTACTTTGATCACTCCACTTCCTTTTCCCCCAACGACTCCTTGCACTGCTGGGCATACTGTTCAAATGAGGTCCTCTGATATGAAATAGCATGAGCCCTCTCCAACATTTCACGATATGAGGTGAAACGATGGGACATAATGATCATGCCGATCTCAGGGCACAGTCCATTCTCGAACCTCCTAATCTTCTTAACTTCTGTATCCACCAAGTGCGGGGCATACCTTGAGAGCTACTCAAACTGTCTTTCATAATCAGTAAGTGACATGTTCCCCTGTCTGAGCTGCAGAAATTCTGATTCCTTGAAGTCCCTCAAAGCCTGCGGGAAATATTTTGCCATCACTTCGTCTTTAAACTGCTCCCAAGTCAGATTGCGTTGCTGCTCTTCCGTCCTTGTATGTGAAACAGATTCCCACCAGTGACCAGCTGCTCCAATCAACATAAATTCTGCGCATAATACTTTTTGTGCATCCGTACAAGCAATGTGTCGAAATATGCGCTCCAGACCTCTTATCCACTCTTCGACAACCAGTGGTTCAGAATTACCGTTAAAAGTGGAAGGCTTGTACCTACGAAATTGCTCAACCATTGAGACAGCTCCAGGGGCAAAATGCAGTGTATTCTGCTGTGGCGGTACATTTTGTGGTGGAGGTGCTTGATTTTGCCTACTTAACTCTTGTACCGATCGTAGTAAATTGCGCATCAAATTCGTATGAGTAGGTGGTGCCATTTCCTAAAATTTAATATGAAGTTACAATCACATTTCAGCACTAAGTCTATCACGTTATGCTTATTTTTATCGTAATACATATCATCAATTTAGTGGGGAAATAAAGTGCATGTCTTAAAGATTTAGAAGTAGGCAATCTAAAATATTGAAATTATTGAAAACATTTGAGTGCATTCATTTTCTTACCCTTTTACATACCTTAGAGTCGTTGGAGGGTGGTTGATTGGTGGTTGTTGAGTGCCAAAGATCATTCACATATTTAATAACTTTAAATTATCATTATCGTTAAATTCATAAATTTTCATAAAAATATTAACATTTAACAAATTGCACAATGAAACAATTAAATATTTTATTACACGTAACATTTAAAACGTGTAAAATCCAATGTTTATATATATACTAGCAAATGCAATAAGTTCTACTAAACTTTTCTTATTATCATAATAATTAATTTTTAAACTTAAATTCTTTAATTCTTAAAAAGGAAAGTTGGGCCGGTTACAAGTTTAATGATGCATTATTGACTTAATTCAAATAATTACATCTACCTAATAGTCTTCTTATATCATGTCTATTAATGGATTAATTAAAACCAACTAAACTTTTGAGACCTTGCCTATGTTGACAAAACAAAAAACAAAAAAAAAGAAAAAGGAAATCATTTGGGATTTTTGGAAAATTTATTCGAAATATCACCAATCAAGGAATCTTTAAAACTTTCTGTAGTTACAATTTCATCATTTAGTTTGGGTGACATAGCATGTTAGAATCAAAATAAGACGGCGATTGAAAATCAGTAATAATTAATTTCATTGCTAGAAAACTAAAAATTATAAACATGTTATTTAATCCTATTTTATCTTTTGAGGCATTAACATCTTTCGCTCTCACTCTACATTCCTATTTGGTCACAATTTTTATTTTTATTTTTATATAAAACATTACTCAATTAAACAACTAACAATTAAATATTTATTACACACGACCTTTAGAACACATACATACATACATATACATATTTATATGTATTTTTCATTTAAAATAATTTTCAAAATTTATTTTATTTCATTTTATTTACTTATTTATTTTCATTATTATTATTATTTTAGAAGTAGCTAATGGGTCTATTTCGCACTTTTAGATTAAAGAAGAATATGCTTCAAACTTTATGTAATAACCAAACGTGAAACAAAACACCCAAACACCCCTTTCAATTTATTTATTTAGTTACACACACACACACACACACATATATATTTAGTTATTTTTTTCTTATTTTTTAAACTGTTCACGTGAACAGTGACGTTACTGTTCACATCTAAAATATTATTATTATTTTTTATTTTTTATCTTTGATAAACCAAATTATGAGAATACATGTGGGTCTACAGGAAATTAAACCTATGCTCTGATACCAAACTATAACGACCCAAAATTTAAAGATTTGGAATTGTTACTAAAACATTTATTTCATAATTAAATAAATTATGTCAAACATTCTACATGAAAATCTTTCTAGTTCCATCTATAAAATAAATAAAGTCTATGAAAAACATAATCAATTGAACCATGTTCCAAATATAAACTTCAAATTTAACATGAAGATAAAACTGAAATAACGCAAAGAGAAATAAATAAATAAAACTTCCTAATCACGTTACTCAGAATTTATTTATCTTGAATTTCATAATTTCTGGCATTACAACTCCACCGCATCGCCCGCCAACCAACGACCCGTTCTAATCTGTGAGGAGTAGGGAAAATGGTGAGTACATGGAAATACTCAGTAGGATATAAAAATTAATGGTGCGATCCCATATAAAAATTTTAAAACATGCATCAGAAAAATCATACCGTCTCATATCTTTAAAATCCGGTAGGAGCTCATATCATATCATATTGTTGTACCGGAATGGCCATATCATTCACATCATAACATATCATATCATAACTTTAACTTTCATGAGTATAAAATTCATCAACATAAAAAAATATTTACATGGGACATAAAAACACTGTACGTCATATCCTACCTTATTAGATCGTTAAAATTTTTGGATGACTAAATCCAAGAAATCACGCTCCAAAAATCCTTCTCGCTGCTTCAAGAATTTATATTGTTTGAAATTGACTTCCTATTTTAAATTCCAATACCACAGGTATAAGTATCTATAAACCCTTTTTTTTAAAGGTATAATGTAATATTCCTTTTACACTGCATAAATATGGAGTCTGTAATTTACCTGATTTCAACACTCTTCTTTCTCTACAACCGTGTGCTTATACATATGTCTTCTTTTGATATACATCTATAAATATATCCCACATGATCTAATCTAACAAAGTGGGTGTGTAGTTGAGGATACGTGTAGTAGTAGGATAGGAGAATGGATAAATTTGGGAAACAAACTTTTTGAAATAAAATAATTAGCCAAATCTTGTCAACCAACTTTATCACTCAACAAGCAATACCTCCCCCACACGTGGCCAACAAATTGGAATCAATAAAGTCTCTCTCTCTCTCTCTCTCTCTCCCTCCCTCCTTATATATATTTATTATTATTAAAATATTCAACCCTAACTTAACAAAGATTCTTCATTCTTTTCACGTGACTTGAGAGAAAATTTAAATTCATTAAATAATCAATTAAAATATAATTGTAAAGCTCTATCTTTCGGCCTCGATAATTTGGGCTCCACTAATCCAAATTAACTTTTTCTCGAGCCTAACATGCATGATTAATTACGACCTATCCAACGAGCCCAATATTCATATACTTATTATCGCTCCATTAGTATCTACATTTTAAGCCAAATGAAATCGAAATTTACTTTATATATACTTTAGTCCCCAAACTTTCAAAATATTAAAATATAGCATACATAAATTAAATTCTAATCTATGAAATTTTGTGACATTAAACGCAAGGTTCTTACCGATTGAACTTTATTATTTGTACCCTGATTATTGACACGTTATTTGACACTTGAATTATTGTCAAGTGTCAATTGGATGGGAAAACTGTTTGAAATTAATACTGTCTAATAGGATACTGTCACGTGGCAAAGTGTAAACTAAAGTGTACACCATAGTGTACATGTTGCAAGGTTCTTATCGATTGAATTTCACTATTTGTACACTGATTTTTTACACATTGTTTGACACTTGCATTGTTGTCAAGTGTTAATTGGATTGCAAAACTATTTGAAAGCTAAACAGTCCAACGGGGTAATGTTATGTGGCTAAGTGTAAACTAAAGTGTACACCATAGTGTACACTTAGCAAGGTTCTTACAGATTGAAATTTGCTATTTGTACATTGATTTTTGACATGTTAGTTGACACTTGCATTGTTGTCAAGTGTCAATTGGATTGGATGACTGTTTGAAATCAAAACTGTCCAATAGGGTAGTGCCACGTGAAAAAGTGAAAATTAAAGTGTACACCATAATGTACATGTTGCAAAGTTCTTACCAATTGAACTTTGCTATTCGTACAATGAGTTTTGACACATTGTTTGACAATTGCATTTTTGTCAAGTGTCAATTGTATGGGAAAACTGTTTGAAATTTAAAATGTCCAATAGGGCAATGTCACGTGGCAAAGTGTAAACTAAAGTGTACACCATAGTGTACATGTAGCAATGTTCTTACCGATTGAACATTGCTATCTGTACGCTGATTTTTGACACGTTGTTCGACACTTACGTAGTTGTCAAGTGTCAATTGGAAGGAAAAATTATTTGAAATTTAAACAGTCCAATAGGATAATGTCACGTGTATAGTGTAAACTAAAGTGTACATTATAGTGTACATGTAGCAAGGTTCTTAACATTGAACATTGCTATTTCTACATTAATTTTTGACACATTGTTTGACACTTGCATTATTGTCAAGTGTCAATTGGATGGAAAAATTGTTTGAAATTTAAACTATCCAGCAGGGTAGTGTCACGTGGCAGCATGTATACTAAAGTGTACACCATAGCGTACAAGTCACAAGGTTCTAACCGATTGAACTTTTCTATTTGTACTCTAATTTTTGACACGTTGTTTGACACTTGCATTATTGTCAAGTGTCAATTGGACGGGAAAACTATTTGAAATTCATACTTTCTAATAGGGTACTGTCACGTGGCAAAGTGTAAACTAAAGTGTACACCATAGTGTACATATAGTAAGGTTCTTACCGATTGAACTTTGCTATTTGTACATGGATTTTTGACACGTTGTTTGACACTTGCATTGTTGTCAAGCGTCAATTAGATGGGAAAACTTTTTGAAATTTAAACTGTCTAACAGGGTCATGCTACGTTGCAAAATGTA